TATTCCTTTAACAGATATAAAGCACTTCTACGCTTAAACCTCAAAACATAGGATCATAAAAATACTACATGTACTGCTTGTTCTTTTCACATTGTGAATATTTTACACTTATTTACAAACATAGTGTATATTTTTACACTTATTTACACAGTGTATATTTTTACACTTATTAACAAACACCGTGAATATTTTTACTCCTATTTGAAATTGTTCTCTTTTTGATGGATATACATGTAATTTTAGAATGCTGTTTACTCTCTCTCTCAGGTATAAAACAACCTTCCTGCAAATAATATCAAATTCATTATTTCATTTTGATTTTGACATTAAAGGTATATATTTCTTTAATTCCTTTTTTTTTTAAATTTTACATATCTGTATTGTTAGTTTTTGTTCTCAGTATCTGTCTCTCATATGGTACATTTCCAGAGAGCGGAGGATAGAAGTGAAATCATAGGTAATTACTGTTAAATGACTCCAAATTACCATTTACTGGCAAAATATTTCCTGCAGCGAAGACTATGCCAATTTCAGCCTATTTAGATGCGATGGCAACGAAAATTATACAAGAGAAATGATTTTATTTTGCATGATTAAGTTCATTTCCAAAACGGATTAGATGTGCTGAAATAAAAGCACGAGTTTCTTTGATATCATCGAGTTTTATCTTGTTTATAAAATATAAAGAAGCCTTTTAAATCAAAACATGCTCATTGCCTTATTGGACTGAAAGTTGTATTTCAACTGGTATTCAGATTGTTATTTTAGACTGAAAATACCAATCATATCCCGATATTTCATCAACACGGCTTCTTATTCGGTAATGTGTCTATAGTAAACATTTCCTAGAAAATCAAATTTGATAGAATAATGATGAAAATGTTATGATTTTTATTTTAAAGTTCAGTTAAAAAAGCAATCATTTTTCAGAAAATCTCTAATGTTACTGTTATCGCTCCTCAGCTTTTATAATTTTGTCGAAGAATTTTTTTATTGAAGTATTGTGTATAATTCTAAATGGTGGTTTTTCCTGTATGTATAATACTACATGTATTATAAGTCATTTGAATTGATGATATCACAATTTTCGGTATAAATTCTTTTGAAACATTTTGCAAGAAGTTTAGAAATCATAAGATATTAAAATCTTGGGGGGGATATTTTGGGGGGTATATTACGAAGAGATACAGAAACGATATTCGAGGAACGCGTCGTTGGGGGAGGGGGCGGGGGGTGACCAGCATAATTTAATAGCAAATTTATTTAACTTTATGACATATAACTAATTTATCGGATTAAGAAGGAAACGATTAATTTATCAAGGAAATACTTTATTTTTAAGGTTCAAATTTTATGAGCTTCAGTGTCAATAAATATTGTTGCCCTCTTCATTTTTAATTTCTTTGTATTAAATAATGATAAAAAAAAATTGTACCGAAATTTAAATTTCTTAATTCTTCGCTATTGCAAAATTTTCTTACTCTAGTACATTTCTGGATTTTATTCTATGATAACATGTACAACTTCATAAATATCAAAAATCATTTTTTTTCCTCCAAAAATGGTTACTTTATCTTCAGTTGCTTTATATTCGTCAAATTTTACTTCTTGGAATTGTTAATATTTCAACTTCAGATAGTTTACAAGGACTGCACTTCTAAGTACCAGCTGTTTGACATATATCTGAAAGAAAGAGAACAGAAAAACACTTTGAATTCTTAAAAAGAAGATTATAATATCTTATCGATCTCATTCGAAAGTCGATGAAAGAATTTCACTCTCAAACAACCTTGCGTGTAACTGATCCTTTAACCGCGGGGAGGCGTGAGAATGAAGAAACGCCAGCTTCTGTTCCGAAATGGAAACAAAAAGAGTTTGAAATCTGACAGTTTTTAGTGTTGCAATAAACATACTAGATTCTCTGACGTCTGACAGCAGCTTACTATCTATACCCCTCTAACCTGTAATTTGTACGAAGGCTCTATGAGAACTTCTTTTTCTTCGGGGAGGTGATATTGTTCTCAGAAGAGGCCCGTATTAGGGGATAATGTAAAAGAACTATCATTTTTTTCTTTTTGAAGCAAACACAAAATTTAAAATATTTAACTGATATGTTTCACTTTGGGTTTAAAATGTTTTATTTTCATCAAATTCCGCGCAAGTCCTTCAACTATTTTCTTCTAAGATCATAAGATGTATAACTCTATCTTTATTTGATAAATTGTTATACTCGATTTTTTTTTTTTTTTTTTTTTTTACTTATAATAGGATTTTTTATTTCAAGATTGGTGTACATGGTTGGCCTTCTTTTGCTGTGTCTTTGGAGAAAGGGCTAACTGACAAAGCCTGAAATTAACTTTGACAAAACTGAATATGTTGAACGTCAGAGGGGAACTCAATCATGCCAATTAAGTTGTCCGTGTGATAGATAGAGACTAAATTAATGTTCGTGCTAAGTCATCGCCCGTAACCCTTTTGATGTAATCATCAGATGTCAATTCTATTCACATCTAGCATTCAGTTTGTTCTTTTGATTCATTTATATAACACAGTTAAGGATTTTTTCATATTAGATTACTTTCAAATGATTTGACTTTTGTTAATCAACAATGAGAAATCATAATTTCCAATGGGTGTATGACGAACTTTTTGGACTTTGAGAATTTTTTCCCAGATAATTGGCCCATCTGAAAGGTGTGTGTAAAGAATCTGATACAGATTGCACACAATGAGAAGTAGATAATTCTATAAATAAATAAAAGATCATTAGGAATTCAAAATCTTACAAAACGGCATAGAAGAAATGCGATACGATAGGAAGATGATCGCACTGCAATTACACCTAACCTTTGGCAGACAAGATTTCCTTCCACTTCATTGACTTTTCTGTAATTATCGTTCCATTGTCTATTTCCATCTCGACAAATGCAATATCATTCCATAATTCCAAAGCTCTTATTTCTGGTATACTAAATAGCTTGATACTTTGAACAAAGCGCTTTTTGACCGTAACTGATATTTAAACTTTCTTATAGGAAACACGACATTCCATAATAGAATGAGGTCGTGTTGACCAGATAAAGAGATAACGGATGTGGGTAGAAAAACGCAGAGAGCTTCCTAAACACAAGAATTCAGGGTACCTTGGTCTTATTCTGGTGCTTGATACATATCGTACAAATGAAAAAAAAATTTTAGTTATATTTGCAAGTACCATTTTTGGTAAACTGTGCATAAGAGAAACGGCCATTTCTCTGAAGTCTTAAAAGCAGCACAGCCTCTTTCAAAGCAACATGGGCAGTTAGTATGTAAATTGATTTTGCGAATCGTTTATACAAAGTTCTAATGCATGTTACGGAAGTAGAGAGACGGAATAATTTTGCCTGGGTAGATTTAAGAAATGGCTTGTAGCCCGTGGTGCTTCCCCTCCATTCCTGTTCACGAGCTAAGATTTTTTGGATAAATCAAGGGGTTGGTCTACATTTACATTTCTCTTGTACAATTTATTTTACATTCAAAGATTTCAATTACACCAATTAATGAAATAATCACAAAATCAATTGAAGACGGAAACAGGCCTCGCGCCAATTTTCCGAGAACGTTTTAGTCTGACGTTGGCGCAGCGTGCCGTGACTTCCGGCGTTTCAGGCAAAATGTTATGAAGACACGCAGCTCTTTTAAACAGTTACATGAAAAAACCAATGTTTCCTTTTTGATATTTCATCAATCTCCCGCGCAGATCAATATGATTATAGTAAGCTTAGATTTACGAGATGCTTGAATTTCATGACAAAGCAATTTAAAAGAAATTAATAAGAAAAAAAACACTTCTAGACATTTTGAATGTGTAATGTAACGTCTTGTAATTTACGAGTGAAATAATCAAGCAATTTTGTATAGAGTATTTGCAAAACATTTTTTCTTTCAACTCAATTTAAAAGAAAAAAAATGAATTTATGCTGTTATTCATGTTCAAACATATGCATCCAAATTAATGAAAATAAGAAAAATTCGAAGACCTAGACATACTGGGTTGTATGTCTTTAATTTGTGCTTTGCATTTACGTTTTATAGACACATTCAAAGGCGTAAAGAGACTACAGTACGTCATTCTCATTTCAAAGAAGGATAGAGGCTTTACAATCGCTTGGTTTCGATTACGATTTCTACTGCATACATGTCTATTGAAAATGTAATTACATATGCTACATTTTCCTTGAGGTCGTCTCAGCTATATTCTATGTCATCGACTCGTATCTGAAAAAATAGGCGCTTTTAGAATTCTGAAAAGAAAAAAAAGAAGGTAACAATGCGATGAAATAAGTCATCGCAAACTCATGCATCTTATTTTTAGCAAACTTAAATGTTTTTAGAAATACCCTTTTGTAAAGCTTAGACAAGTCAAGATCTCAAAATATTTTTTTCTCATAATTTTGGAGTTTTTATTGATATTCCATAGCTAATTCTCTTGAAACATTTTTAAAAATTGCAGTTACATTGATCCACCTTTTAAGTTCAATTTTAGATAATACTAGAACATTAATTGTACTCCATCGAAATTTCTCTTTATCAAATCATCATAATCTGATAAATACATAGTTCAAATAGAAAATCTTCAGGCCTTGGGGGATGGAATCCATATTTCTACTCTAAGTCATTCGAGCCTACTTAGGTCAACGCAGATTTTTCAATCAGCGGAATGCAAGAAATGCAAAGAATGGTATAAAATTAATAGAATTTTCAATAAACCCTTGTTTTAATATGAATTTTAATTCTTGTAGTGTAAAGCGTAATTTTGCCATTGGTGTTAGCAATGTAATTTCAAAACTTCTTAGAAAAAGTAACCTGTAACGAGTAGAGCTGAATCTGAGATCAAAATATCATCATGTATCGCGATACATACATATATATATATATATATATATATATATATATATATATATATATATATATATATATATATATATATATCTCAAAGAAACTCAATTCACTTTTATAAGGATACCAACTTCCGCTCCAATCCGTGGTTGAACTCTCGACCTAAGGAAACTGTCTCCTAACAGTACAGGACCAGTGTCTTAGACCGCTCGTCCATCTAGGCAAGTCAAAAAACTTCCTTTCGATGCCGATGGAATTCTCGCAGCTCCACCCTGCACTACACGGTCATTGAGAATGGAAGTGAGGTACAGTTGTTTGGACAATAGTTTTATTAGTGGATCGTTACCGATACACATTGTAATGAAATTTATTTTTTAATTTATAAACGTGAATTTCAAAAGTGCTTTCTATATTAATATTTCTCCACTTAGGGCAGTTATGTTAGTTTAAGAGTTGTTGTAAAAATGTGCTGTATTTTTAGTTCCAAAACAAATAAATTTGAAAATTGAAGTTAATTTTTTTTTATTCATTGTACCGGTATGTTTTAAAATGCATTTATAATACCAATAAATTAAATATAACCTTTATAACGAGCTTGAATTATGAAAACTGCAAGTAAATATAAAAAAAGGCAACCGGATATCCAACTTCAATAAACTTTGCAAAGATTAAGCACATTATGAGTGACATTTAAACAAGGCAAGCAGGCTCAGAAGCACTACTGACATTTTAATTTAACTAGGATATGCTGACTTCAAAGTCCAGCATCGGGCTTTTATTCGTCCCTTATGTACAGAACATTATCCAAACTATATAAACACATATCTTGACCTTAAGAATGGTTTTTAAAAGCTTTTTTATACTACGAGGGTTGTTTGGAAAGTTTGTGGACTACCGTTATATCTTTTTTACTCAACGTCATCTTATATCCAAATTTAGAAGAAAAATTTCAACAGTAAATTCAAATGATGTGTATTAAAAAAATTTAAAATATCGTGGTTTATTTCAAACTTATTTAGACTTTAAAAATGCGAAAATCGGATCACGGAGCAGGTCAAAATTTTGCACTGTAAATCCAAACACTAAATAATGTCTGAAGTCATATCTTATGTAAAATGACACAAAAAGGGAAAAAATCTACACATTCAAATATAAGAATTGTTTCATCGTTTCTTATTCCAAATTATGTCTTAATATTTTGCTTTGTTGAAAAGAAATCAATTTCAGAAGATAGGCAGTCCTCATTGAAAAGGGCAAAAAAGATGACGTCGTAGAACGTCACGGAGCAGCAGTTAACCATATAATTTTGTGTTGTACTCTGGAAAACTTCAGAAAAAAACTCTAAAAATACCGGAGAAAGTAGGAAATATGTTAAAAGCGGGCCATGCATTTGTGTGTACATGGTACAAGTGGTATTTGAATGATAGACTACTCTGCTTAGACGATGGTGATCTGTGAGAAAACGGATTATCTGTAAAAATCTTATCAAAAACATTGAAAAGTTAGTGACGTCATGCTAAGAGTTTGGCGCTTCAAAGATGCTGATCTTGTGAAAGCACACTTGTGCAGTGAAAAAAATAAAACATTGACAAACAAAATGATGCAACTAGAACAATTGTTAGCAAAATAGATTTCAAGTGATAGAGAAACGTTTTTAATGAGTGCACTGGTATCTGGCAATACTGTGTGAAATGTATAGGGATAGTATTTTTGAGAACCTCATGTCGGTATGTTTTTGACGTTTGTTGTTGAGTTTGCTCCGTGGTTACAAAACGTTTTGATTTTAAAATTAAATAACATGAATTCTATTAAATCATATGGAATGAAACTACACACTTAAACGAAATAATATTTTTACATATGATAAGGAGCTCATTTTAAATTTTTTGAAGATAGTATAACGAAAATTGGCATAGTCCACGAACTTTCCGAACAACCCTCGTACATGCACATAGCATACATTTTTCTACTGTATATCAGCAAAATATAACCTTGGTAAGGGTGTGACAATCGCACTAGATATCAACATGTCACGGTTTTGTATGACAGTCAATCTGTTTGTACTCTTCTTCATTTTTTATTTTCTTCATTAATTACGTCATTCTATCATATATTTATTTTCATCTATATTTTAATTTCTTATTCTATTGCATTTCAGAATAACACCTATGTTTACTATCACATTCAATATTTATTTATTTATTGTCTATAATCAAAATACATCTATATTAATTTTTTAATGTGTCATTACTTTTCCTCATACATGTATTTCTTTTGCTTATTAAAAAAACCCCTCTGTTCTAGCATGATTTTATAATATGGCCTTTAGAATTTTAAAAGTCACTTCGTTTTGTAAAGTTCTGTAAATTACAAGGTACTAACGATGTATATTTGCCAGTCTTGAATTTCCATGTTTTTCTTCAAGAATTAAATTTCTTTTTTAACATTCATCCGAAGACTTCATCATTTTCACTTCATCCATTTTTTTAAAATCATTATTCCCATTTTGTTTCAACTCTTCAATGAATGATGATCATCAATTTTTTAAAGCTCTATTAATAGAGATCTATTATGCTCCTTTCAATTTTCCTGACGTATAATTTTTGCAGTTTATTTTGCTTCTCGGGAATACACGTATTTTTCGTCTGAAGTTTCGAACAAATTATGTGCTCTTATTCTTTCAATTATCTTCGTCGTTAGGAAAGTCTGTGATGGTCGAATCTTAGATAACCTCCATTGATAAGTCTTACCAAAATCTCTCAGACCCTATTTCTATCGTCTATTTTCTTTAAGGTGATGTATAATTTGTTCTTTTTAAGAACTTTTATCACAGAGTTTGGGAGTCAGTCTGGGAATACAAAAATTGACCGTTTTGATATACTAAGTTATTATATTACATATAGTATGTTAAAATGAGGAACTGAATTGAAATTAATTTAATTTGAATTAATTCTTTTTACGAATACAAAGAATCATTTTTACAATATACAAAATTATACCCACACGAAGTCTTGGTTCCAAGAGGATAAAATATACGTCCTTCCTAAAAAACAAAAACCACACTGAGATTCAATATCACAAGGTACAGTTAAAGTAAAAAAAAGTAAATATATAAGGAAAATTAAAAAAAAAAAACAAAAAAAAAAACTTATACAATAGGCGGTACGTAAGACTTGAAAAGCACTTTCATAAAGTAAAGTTATTGGTATTCAAATTTAATTAAAACAATTTAAAAAAAAAAAAACTTGTAATAAATATATTAATAAAAATCGTTGATTCATCATCAATCCAAGCACCTATTTTAATCGTCAGCAAAACGTAACTTGCTATGAAAGAGAAACTACAGACGTACTGCGCTACAATACATTCAAGAAGTGGTCTAAATCTTTTGTGGATTCTCAAAAACTACTAAGAGATTTTAGAAAATTTGAAATGAGAATTTGAAATTGGAAGATAACGAGCAGTGGTCATTCTCAAAAGTCCATACAAATTATGTGCAGAGCCAATACGGACCTCTGAAAACAGAGGTGGGATCCAGTGCCATGAGGAGTTAGCCCTTTCAGCGGGTCACACAAGCCTTGTGCTCATTGTATATAATGATTAGGTATATGAAAAAAACGTAATAAATTCAGTGTCAAAATAATGGTGTAATAATTTGTATGAAAAACGTCAGTCAAAATCCGACTTAATGATAGATGGATTTGCAAAAAAGGTCATTTCCTCGACAATAGAATTTGTGAAATGTTGACTTTAAACGAGATTGTTGATATCCTTATAACATCAACTTAGTTGTCAATAGCCTGCCTCGTTTTAGAAATTGTCCTTACGTAGAAACTTATTCTTGCGTATTAAATTACCTGGGAGACATATACTCCATATGCAGGTTATAATGGAATATTGCTGCGAAAATAAGGGAAGTTGACAATAGAAAAGTTGAAGTCGTCACGTTTATTCATAAAGGTTAGTTTCAGTTTGCCATCAATGTCTTTCTCTATTAAAATATCCAAGAATGAAACGGTTGTGTTAGTCTTTGTGGTGTCTTATATCGAGTTCAGTGGGACATATTGAATCAACGTAGGAATGATACTGAATACTGCTAATTGATAAAACGTCGTAGTTATATAACTAAATGTCAAATTGAAGGCCACAGCAAGGAAACTCTTCTTTTCAGGCAGGTTATTGAATACATTCTGTTTCATTTGAATGCCAAAAAAATGGTCTGCTAATAACGGGGCACAATTAACGCCCATGGGAATTCCAACAGATTGCTGGAAGACCTGGTCTCCGAAAACTACATAGACTACATAGAATGTGGCAGTTTGTCAAAAAAAAAAAAAAATCAAGAGACCTGTTGGCAAAAATGCTCACCTGAGCTTAATTGGGAATAAATCGATATGTTGATCTCATTACATTATACAATTATTGCTGTTTTAAGGTCAATGCGATGATTCAGAATCTTGAGGAGTAAAAGATTTATCGAGCCCAAAGGGCAAGGTGATCATTGTTTTTCAATAGTGGAAAATCATCGTACTGACAGAAAAAAACAGCAATAATAATTGTTTTATTCTATGATTCAACGATTGAATTGATACAAACCGATTAAGCAGACATATCGAGTTTCATGTTTACATTTGCTCAAGTCCTAGCCAGTGAGAGAATCGGAGTTAACATAAGCATAACCAGTATTAATTTTGCATTTGAAATCTATTTTTGGTGCAATGAAGAAAAAATAAATGTCAGGCATAGCATCGAAAGGGGAAATGGGGCATTATAAGTGGCGAAATTGACAAGTCACCTTAGTAATATCTTTGATGGGTCCCTCAAAAGTTTATTGATGTAAGGGGGATTTCCTTTTACTCTGCTGTATCAAAAAGTTGGGGGGTAGGGCAACCAGACTTGCAATGAACATTTTTAAGCGAAAAAAATAAAAATTTATGTTCATGAAAATGGAAGAGGGAGGACACCCCACCCCTTATTCAATGCGCTTGAATGTTATGTTCACCTTGTCCACTCAAGTAGGAAATATTTTTTTAAACTATACTGTATAAAAAAGAGGGGTGGTTACAAGACTTTCAATGAACATATTCAAACTAGAAAATGCTAAAATTCAGAAAAAAGGGGGACAATCCCTCCTCCTTCTCCTTCTCCGATTCTTTGTGGCTGAATATTATGTTCACTTGAGTGGATTTGGGATGCAGGTGAAATAACTTTTCAGAATTGTTTTCAATCTATTTTTAGTTCAATGTAGGAAAAATAAATTCTTATGTTCACCTGGAAGGTCAATAAGATGCTCTGTCTTTAATGATAATTGAAAACATTAATCTACTTCAATATACACTGTATTGAAATGTTTCCATATTGATTTGACAAATGTATGACTGTTTTAATGTAGATTTAAAAAGAAAAAAAATTATTCATCTTACATGTGTGTATCCTATTCTCAGATGACCATATTAACCGACTTAAATGTACATTATACTGGGATTCTTCTTTATTACTTCTATATATAT